TGTCAGTTCGTACCTGAGCGCTTTGCTGCAGGGCCTCCCTCTCCCCCTGCCAACGAGCCCGGCCCTCCCTCATGGCCAGGCGGGTCTCGGCCAGCTGCAGTGTGAGCTGTGCCGCCTCGAGCCGGGCCTGGTGCAGCTCGGTTTGCCCACGGTCCCTCTGCCCACCCACCACCTCCAGCTCAGCGCCCAGTCCTTCCACACGGCGCTCGCTGGCACACAGACGCTCCCGCAGGCTGGACAGCTCCTGGCGCAGGGACTCGTTTTCCACCTGGGGCAGCGGTGGGGGTGGCAGGCGGCCAGGAGCGGGTCCCAGAGAGGGGTGAAGAGATGCAGACGTGCAGGGAGGTGGGGGGGGGGGAAGGGAGACAGAGGAGAGGATGCAACATGAGCCCGAGACGAACACTCACTGACGCTCTGCTGCTCTCGGTGCCCGTCAGCCTCCCAGCCTGTCTCGCCCTCCCTCTCACCTCTCTCTGCTGTGCAGTGTTCAGCCTGAGAGTCAGGGTGCTGATGGTGTCTCTCAGTGTCAGGGCCTGCGTCTCCCTCTCGGCCAGTGACCCCCGCAGGCTCTGAAACTCCGAGCACATGCGGCGCAGCTCCTCCTCCGAGGACAGCAGCTTACCCTGAGGATCAACACAGCGGGGAGGGGGGCAGGCTGTACATGTGCTGTCTGAAAAGAGCGTGCGCGGCGTATGTGCAGCAGGAGTGAACAGCATGCAGTACAATGTAACCGGTGCCCAGTGCGTGTCTATCAGGCCAGAACTAAAAACGACATACATCACATTCACTACTGTGCAAAGTTCTTGCATCCCATGAGAATTGTGCACACTGAGCCAGCAGTAAGCAGAAGTGAGTATATTGTGTGCAAACTCTGTTGAGTGTGAATACATGTAGAGTGTGTGAATGTGTAAACGGTGGGCAGTCTGGCTGTATTATGTGGAGGAACAGATCGTGCACGTATCTGGGGTGAGTGCACATCATGTGTAAACTAGGTGCAGCAGGTTGTACGCCACGAGCAGCCCTTGAGCACCTGCAGGGCCTTCCTCTCCTCCTCCTCCTCCCCCTTCTGGCGCACCGCCTGCTCCTGCTGCTGCGTCAGCCTCCTCAGCCGCTCCTTCAGCCTGCAGGGACACCGAGCCGGCGGTCAGGACCGAGAGCCAGACTCGTGCGCGGCGCGGGCCTGCCGGGGCCGGCGGGCTGCAGTCACCTGTCCAGCTCGGCCTCCCGCTC